TTTGAAATGACCGAGCTTGACCAATTGTCCTCTGGGTGCAGCTCTGAAGTCGTGCTGGCAACAAACACAGATGTAAAGTATTTGTTAAACATTTCTGCTATGTCATTAGGAGAGTCGGCATGTGTACGTGTATTGTTTGTTTCCATGGAAACCAGTTCAGGGATACTGCGCGACTTAGAATTTATCTTGAGTACGGACCATAGACGTTTAGGATTGTTCTTAAATTCGAGGTCAGCAGTCTCAAAAAACTTGTCTCTACTTCCTTTCAGTAAGCGCTTGGTCTTAGATCGCAGGCTTCGGTATTTCTCCCGCAGATTAACTGACGTACGTGCTTTCAGCTTCCTGCGAACAGACTCCTTTTTTTTAATGAGATTAAGGATAGCACTTGTCAGCCAAGGAACAGGATTGCGACCTTTGAGACGTTTAGTTGGGATGTTGTCTTTTACAGCGGCAAGGAATAGATCTTTCCAAGTCAGCCAGCATTGATCTAAATCATCAAGGTCTGTTGCAGAGGTCAAGTTAATTGCTTGGAGAGCGTTGTTTAACCCAACAAAATCGCCTTTAGCGTAATCGTAAATGATTCGGTGGGTTTTAGTAGATGCTCTAATGAAGGTGTTAAATTGAAAGATTACGGTGCCATGATCCGTAAATAGKCCGGCTTTGGCTGGTGAAATGACCTCCGTTATGCTTGTTTGAGCCGGAGCATTAGTAATAACAAGATCAAGCACATTTTTACCACGAGTAGGCGTTCGGTTTAATTGACTTAAGTAGTGGTCATTTAACGCCTCAATAAAGGCCTGTTCTTTTGTTCCTTGAGTACTATCAGGAATGTCCCATGGGATTTTTGGAAAGTTGAAGTCGCCACAAATTACCATACAGTCAAATTCATCACAAACAAAATCTAGAAATTTATCAAATAAAACTGTCCAGTTCAGGTCAGATTCAGGGCGATAAAAGGAGCAAAATAAAATCTTTTGGTCTTGAAATGTAGTTACTACCGCAGAAACAACCTCAAGATCAGTTAAGTTGTCGGGTAAAGATAACTTGCTCACTGATTTGAACAAGTCGCTTTTAACAGCGATCAAAACACCTCCGCCGCGCTTCTCCGCTCGATCTTTCCTGAAGACAGAATATCCTTGATGAAGAATTTCAGAGTCGAATATAGAATCGTTAAACCATGTCTCATTGGCACAAACAATGTCAGCGTCCTCTGCATAGACGAGGTCTTGAAATCGGTGCAGGTTATAGGCGAGCACAGACCTTCCTTTTGAATCTTTGRCGTCATTAAAACTCTTTAAACTTTGGGCATTCAGAACCATGCAGTTAACAGAAACAGAATGGGATTTTGCTGTGGAAAAATTGGAGATCCTGTTTGGTCCAGGATGTGTGGCGACATCGCCGCAAAGAAGCAAAAGTCCCAAAGTAAAACCACAAGAACAAGAGCTGTTGAATGTACGAGTTTGTCGTAGTTTGAATGGATTATTCGATGAAATATCAGAAGTACGAGGCCTGAAGTGCTTCCACAGTTGAAACCCTCCATCACACTTTTGAATACAGTACGAAATTCTGGATGACAGAGCCGAGGATCGAAGTACTAGTAGGAAAATGGCAGAGCAAAGGTAGAGGCGACCTACCGCCATCTTGGCATCTCTGGTAATTATTGCACAGTCCCTAATGCTTGAAAGTTATTTCATATAATCTTTCCAAGTTTCCTTACCATGGTTTTAAATACTATTTCTATCGATTGCATTTCAACGATGTTTATGCACAACTTTGAGTATTACGTAAATATTTATTGCTGCGAGCGAGCGCAGCGAGCGAGCAGCACACTATTTCAAACAAAAATGGGATCCCTGTGTCGCACGATAATATCATTTCAAAGTCGATATTTTGGAGTTTGAGGCGATGTCCGTATTTCTGAGCCAGCAAATCTCTTGATCAGCGGTCCATATTTCAGAGTGAGCTTCGCTCTCTTTACGATGAAATGTTTGAAGAGGAGGTTATATTCATCACAGTAATAATCACTTTAGCGATATTTCTAGAGGAAGACAATGTGTATTTATAAGTCTTTCAGCATTGTTGTGGGCTAACACGTTCGATATTAAGACATGGAATTCTCAGATCATCGAACAAATTCTAAGGAGATGTCTTTTGAAGACCACTCGACCTACCCGATGAAGAGACGATTTATATTCTTTGAACTAGCCACGTGTTTTATATTATCAATATCAGAAGATATGCAAGTTTAAGTTAAAGCAAATTATCATTGATTAAGATGTATCAATTTTGATTTATGGAATAAAATCTTAGAATCAAGTTCTATATTAGCATAACATCAGATAAACAAATGACTAACTTAAAGCAAACTATCAAGTTTATATTATCATGATATCAAATAAGCAAATTTATACTATGTATTTCAGGAAAGAAAATGTTGTTTTTATTTCTTTAATATCAACAAAAACTTTTAAAATCAGGCTTTCATCTTCGCTGAGGAGTCTGCACAATCCCACAGCGCTCTTCTTAATAAAGATGTAAAAAAACAGTGATAAAAACTTTTCATACACGATTGTCTTTCTCAAGCATCGCAGCACTTACTTTTGATAAAAATCGCTAGTCTACAAACTATTCAGTCGAACAAGGTCCTGTAAACTTCAGAGCATATTGGATCGATCAGTGTACACTAATAAACTAAGGTATACCTGAGTGGGAATTCGGGTAAAACAGAAATAATTAAGTGGAAGAAAATAATACTCCCTTCCCCCTCTCCCTCTACACCGCCAGGTCCAATCTCCACCGGTTTCGCACCAGTGACGTAACGCGGAAGTAAAATTATCATAATTGTTACGTGGGTTCGGTACCATCAAAAACGTTAAATAAAATTGTGTTTTTTAAACAAAAACTAAATTAAACATTATCCATTCTGCCTTGAAATATGGAGCCACAGGCCAAGCTGTTTTTTCTGATATCAATACTGGTTATTCAAGATTCTGGAGGTAAGCGATTTTGTTATAAATACATTTCAATCACAGTAAGCTCGTTTCTTCTGTCATTAGTAGCTCGTGATTATTGTTATGTGATTATATCATTATCTAAGTACAATGCTTGACGTTTATATTGAGTATAATTGCCAACTACATCAATATCATATATCTATGACAGAGCTATGAAATAAAATGCTCCGTACATTCTGATTGTTTAAAGTCTGATTGTTTGAGCCAAGATTTGATTGAAACTTGTTATTCATGTCATTGCAACCTATTTCATAGGTATCATTGCGATTTGTTGGAATCAAATTATTCTATATCATATCTGGATAAAGTTCTCGTTGCTGTCACACATATTATTATCTAGATAAATCATATTATGTTACTGTCTGCATTTGATTCTGATTAGGATAAATCGATGTGTTCTATATATATATTATTGATAGATAATCTTATGACTAATTAGTCGATGAAGCTTCCATAGAGTGCACGTCACATAAGCATGAAACAATTCTTAATATGTATTGCTAATTAAGATTTAGTTATCAACTATAGCTAATAACTAAGAATTCAACAAAACATAAACACAATGCCAATTATTTAAATTCCTTTGTAGCATTGTTCTCAATTCTTAGCTAGTTGATAACTAAATCTTATTTAGCACTACATAGTTAAGAATTGTTTCATGCTTATGTGACTTGCACTCTATGATCATTTGGGTCACATTAGGGTAGCTCAACCGAAGTTCAAAAAAGTTGTAATCCAAAAGGTATTCCTACTGACTCTATTTTATGCATATCACAACGCATCCTTGAAATACCACTTGTGAATCGTTGCGTTGCGGATTAATCTGGGATACGAATATATCATCAACCGGACGCCTACAGAAGATATCTTTACTAAGTGATTAAGGAAAGTTGAACGATAATGAATAAATTTAATTAAAAACACTCTGAACTAGATACTCATAGATGATTCCAGACTCCGTAAAACGACGGCTCGATGATAACTATAAAGCGTCGCGTACGTGACGCACGGAAAAATACAAAGAAATACAATGCGCGGAGGACTAGATAAAAGTATGTTTACCCGCTCTCTAAGCCACATAGCTAAGTCCGTTAGAACTGGCCGGCTAACTGCTTTTTGTAGTATCTAATGTTTTTTTAAACGTGAATTATTCAACATCGATTTGTTATGTTGTTAGCCTGCGTGGCTTTAGGGGAGTAGGGGATTAGTTATATTAAATTCTCAATATGATTATTATGTTTAATCATTTATTGATTATCATTATTCTAGTCGACTTGATAGTGTACGCATAAGTAGACTAAGACATGGTGCCGTAACGACGAAAGACCAGCGTTTTCCTTGTCGTAATTTCACCGCGCTTCACTGCACTGAGCATGAGCAGTCGTCACATCTGTCGTTGTCATTGTCTTTAGTTGAAAAGGGTTGTCCTACATGATAGCTAGTGAGGGAATCTCCCATGTAATCTGAATAAAAGAAAAAGTATAGAGGTTCTGTTACTGACTGTGCAATTTTGTCGGTAACGCCGGCTGCTACATAAGTAGCGCAGAAATTATAACCATGTTACACTGTACAATTTTCCTCAACAAGTTACAATATATTTGGACGGAGGTAAACTGGGAGTCATAATTAAGATGGCAAACAGCCTGTGTGAGTCGAAAATTGCGAGAAAAGTTGCTGGAGGGGTAATACATTGTACAATGGCGTTGCAAGCTGCTGCAATGTCGTTGCGATAAGAAGACATGAGTTGTACCTCGTGCAACAATAATCGCAATTACAAAATTTCCTATACGACCCATTCTACACTGTGACAAGTTGTTGAGAATATTGTACAGTGTAACAGGACTTAGTATAAACATACTAATGATCTATCACTCATACTGCGCTGTGATTGGCTACTCTACTAATGGTCTAATTTGTGATAGACCACTCGCGGGAAAATCAAAATGGCGCCATCTCATTAATAAATTATTTTAAGGATATTTCAATTTGTTTTCATTTTTTGACCGATTAGTATGTTTATAATAACTCGACCTCATGGGCTATTAGCTCGTAGTCCACTCGACCTCGAGGTCAACGAAATATACATTTTTATAGTCGTCATTTTGATTGCTATGGCTAAAACACTGTTGGAGTCTTTATACAGCTTGGATCTTATCACCAGTAGTATATTGTATATTGTAATATATTGTTGTTTGGAATTGCATGTTGTAGAGCTGAAAGTGTTCGTAATATACAGTTGTGGTCGATCAGTTGAGAAAATGCATGTCTTGGTCTCTTAATGTCAGCTTGATAAAATGATCTTTTTAATAATTAAAGCAGTTGAATTAGCTTTTATTTGTATTTACTTGAGCACTTTTAAGCAGTGAGAATATTCATTGTGTGAATGTTTTGTTTGTCAAACTTTCGGGTATGCAAGCACCCGCGCGTGATAAATGATCAGTCAGTATTTTTCAAGCATGATGTTCGGAAAAAATAAACATTCCTCTTAATCAATAATGCGCGAAATCATTAAAATCTTTCATTTGTTGAATATTTGTATAGGTAATAAAGATGATTTCGAGTTTCGAGAGGTTTTTTCAATTTAGAATTAATTTGCACGAGTTTGCTTTTCAAAGAAGCCATAATTGCGTGAGGCCGTATGCCGAACGAAAAACAAACGAGTGCAAATTAATCCAAATTGAACGAGAAACCATCTTATTACGCGAAATCCCTTGGTGTGCAAATTGACGAGAATTTATCTTGGAATGTACACATACAGGGATTAGCCAAAATATCATCTGGTATCGGGGCATTAAAACGCGCGAGACAATTTGTGCCTACCACTACTCTGATATCGACATTCAATTCACTAATACAACCTCATTTCGACTACTGTTGTGTTGTATGGGGCAATTGCGGTAAAACCCTTGCTACCAAATTGCAAAAGCTCCAAAATCGGCAGGAGGAGCCAACGGGGTCTGTTCTAAATAACTGTTCTTGTACGATTTTTTTTCCTGGGAAAGGGATTTTGAGCTACATTGTTGACAATCTCACAATCTCACAAGCAAATCTGGCGACCTTCCTTCTTTAAAATATTTTTGTTCCTGGCAACCATTTTCAAGGTAAAAAAAACCTTTTATATCGTTTTAATGGTCAAAAACGGCTGATGATACTTTTTTTAGTTAAGAAATTTTTATTTTCCTTGTAAAAATCTTAGAAAGTATTCCTTGCCTGGAGAGTTCTTTTTTCCAGAATTTCTCGCTGGCAACCAGTTGTGACTTAGAGCTGACTGGGACATAAGAACAGATATATTTCTCCCAGGAACCCGTCTGCTCCTCTTAAAATCGGGCTGCAAGGGTCTTGACCTTTTCGAGCTATAATTCTAAAGGCTGATTTACACGGTACGATTTGTCGCGCGCGACTTGTAGTATACGATTTTCCTACTACAAGTCGTAGGATTTTAAGCAGTGGTTCAAAATCCTACTACAAGTCGTAGGTTGCGTACGACTGTTGTAGACAAGTCGTAGGGGCATTTACACTGCGCGATTCAAGTCGTATACTACAAATCGCACGAGACGATCGTGTCGTGTAAATCAGCCTTAATGCTGACTGCCTCGAACAGCTCGGCTGGAAAAAACTTGCAGACCAACGCAAATTTCACGCAGGCGTGATGGTCTTTCAATCTATTTTTCTGAGTGAGTGATAATTTGTCAGCGTGAGTGATGATATGAAATATGAGAGGGATGGGTGAGAGAGGAATGATTAGAAATAATTAGAAATAGCAAGAGAAATTGTAAGAGAGTTTAGAATATTAAAATAAGTGATAGAAATACAAAAAAGTGATATACCTAAGAAATAGACGAATAAACATACGAATTAAAGAAAGAAAATAATAATAATAATAAAATAGAAGAAATAAAAAAAAGGATAAAAAATGGTAAAAAAGCGAAATTTACGTAACGTACACGGACGAGCTCGATAAAATGTCGCGTGGTGATCTCGTAGGGGAGGAAGGAGCGGATAATGGTAAACTGGGGAAGGCAAGGGAGGCCAAACGCACTGACTACCGTACATCATGAGGGGCTGAGACGGTAGACAGAGTAAACTTCGTTTTTCAATGCAATTAGGACGTTTTTAAATCTATTAATGGACTGGCCCCTGCATACTTGGGCTCTTTGTTCAATAAACGAATACAAACTTACAATCTAAGAGACTCCGAGATGGTCTTTAAATCTATTAATGGACTGGCCCCTGCATACTTCACTGGGGGCTCTTTGTTCAATAAACGAATACAAACTTACAATCTAAGAGACTCCGAGAACAAACTTGCTGTTCCAAAGCCACGCACAAACTTTCTCAAAGACAGTTTTAGTTATAAAGGTGCGACACTTTGGAACAGTTGGATTTCGGAAGCGGAAACGCTGCAAGATTTTAAAAACGAATTGTCGCAGAAGTAGCACGGCTCTCTTGTAAAACAGGCAAATATTTTATATAGTTTTAGTTTTTATTGTAATCAATAATTAATGTATATTATAGTTAGTCTTCTATTCTATTCTATTCTATTTTATTTGAATGTGAACAATAAAAACATTGTCAATTAAACAGAATAATACCCGTTGCTGGCTAATGTGGGAAAAAAGACTGGTTGAAACTGTACTGAATTTCATCGAGCTGGACGGGTGGTTCCACTTGAGTTTTGATCATTTTCTGACGYCATTTTCATTGTCGATAAGCGTACAGACCATAGAAAAGCGATTTCGATTTGTTAATTCGATGCAAAATCGTCTTTTACAGCGCGATGCGCACTGCTGTGTAGCCACCCAGACAAAGTTTCGTAAATGTTGACCAATCAGAAAGCGAGGATCGACGCCCCCATAAGCAGCTTTGAATTGCGAAGTGTGTTCTGGACGAAATGTCTCTCGTCCAGATTAATTAAAGTGAGTTACGCTTACTACTCTACACAGAGAATAACTCCATTATATATCAGCGAGGAAGAGTTATTC